CCTAAACCCTACTGCCCTGCTACGTAGGATCTCGACTTCATGGGCCAGCATCCTTTCACAAGAAAGAGCATGGGACAACCAAAGACAAGAATTACGGTTGAGTGAAGGAAGCTCTTGAACCCTAAACCCTAAACCTTAAACCCTAAACCTCTTTATCATATGAATATTTAAACTTTAATGTCATTAGTGCCCTTAGGGATTAGGGTTTAGGGTTTAGGGTTTGAACCAACTCCAGAGCCTTGATCTCAAAGAGTCTTTTCAACCCGGAAGCTCCCCACCCGCCAAAGAACGCCTCTCAAAGCCCCTTACCCCCAGGCCGCTTGCGGTGTGAACCTTCAGCCCTGAGCCCGGAACCCTGCGGCCCGTGAGTCCCAACCCCTCAGAGTGTATCAAGCCTACACCCGACAACCACCAAACCCCGAAACTCTGAGAAAGCACAACCCAAACCCCAAGCCACAAGCTAAGCCTTCCAAGGCAGCAAATCACACACTAGACAGCCAATATTAAACGCAGCAGCACTGCCAACCATGACAACAGCGCAGCCTTGATCCTTCAGAAGCCTCTTGAAGCCTATAAACCTTAACTCTAAACCCTTAAGCCCTAAACCCAAAACCTCAAAAGCCTAAACCCTAAACCTCTAAACCCCCGAACCCCTAAACCCTAAACCCCCAAACCCCTAAACCCTAAATCCTGCAGGCATTTTCGCCCCATCCTTGGCCGAGCGATTCCCGGAGACTGGCCTGAGGGTGATCGAAGTCCAAGGCTCTTCAGGGAGTCGGGCCACGCTCGGGTTCAGAACTTAAGGTTAAGGAAGTTTAGGCTTTAGCGTTTAGGCCTTAGGGTTTAGTAAGTTTAGGCTTTTGGGTTTAGGCTTTAGGGTTCAGTATTTTAGGCTTTTGGGTGTAGGGTTTAGGTTTAAGCAAGTTTAGGCCTTAGGGTTTAGGTTTTAGTAGATTTAGAGGTTGATGGCTAATGGTCGGTGATCCATAACTGTAGCTTCTTGTGTCGTTGGACCACCTATTAGCGTTGCTTGATACTCGCACGCGCATGATAAAGTCTCAAATCACAGGCTTGGAAGAGTCATGAGCTCGAAACCCTACCCTAAACCCTTAAACCGTAAACCCTAAAACGCTGAACCCTGAACTCTGTACCCTACGGCGAGAGGACCGGGCCCTTGTCAATCCAAGTGTCCTTGTGGATTTCAGGGTGCCGGCTTTTAGGGGAGGTTTAGGGTTTAGGGGTGCCAGTTTTGGGGGGGAGGTTTCTCCACAAAGTTACCTTGTGTAGGGTGTCCTTACTGTCAGGAACCGGGTCTGTATTTGGGATCCTTCATGTCTTGTCTTGAACAGGTTGCTGCACATTAGGCTTTCACGAGCTACAGCAGCAATTATGTTAAAGATCCCCAGACTCAGAATTGGTTCTAACATAAGCAGTCTCAATACCTTGCTCTGGAGGCAACTGGGTTCCGTGGTAGAGGCTTTGAGTCCCCCTAAACCCTGAACCCTAAACTCCTAAACCCTAAACCCTATAAACGGCCCTAAACCCTGAACCCTAACCCCTGAACCCTAAACCCTGAACCCTGAATCTTGAACCCTAAACCGTGAACCCTAAACCCTGAACCCTAAACCGATCTCCTCATCTTCAGAGGTGGCGTGACCGATGCCTGCGCCCTGCTGCAGCACCTCCCGCGCAGGCCGCGGATGGTGTCGGATTAGAGTTTAGGGTTTAGGGTTTAGGGTGAGGGAGGGGCCTCTAATGTAGGGCATGAGCCAGAGCACAAAACAAGATGCCCCGTTTGTGTAGGCTGCTAAAGATGAGGAGTTTGAAATCTAGCGATTACATTGTAGGACTTTCACGCGATCGTATTCTTGTCGGTCGCTAGACGTTTTTGACAGGGTGTTCGAGGCAGTGTGGGACTTGCTTTAATCCTAAACCTACAGTCGTAGACTTCTAACCATCCCAAGGTTCTTAACCCTACTGTAGCCCAAACCCAGAGAACCCAATACCCCTTAATTAAGGAATATACCTTAAATCATAATATTAAGGCCCCTATAATTTAAGGTATATTCCTGAATTAAGGGTCTATTGGGTTCTCCGGGAAGAAGCTCCACCTGAGACCCGGAGGCGACAGCCTTTACCCACCCTGTTTGTAGGTTCTGGCAGATCAATAAATTTTAGGGTTTAGGGTTTAGGGTTTAGGGGTTTAGGGTTTAGGGTAATAAAGATGGTTATCTACACGGACATCACTCAGGGTATGGGCTATGCTATGTGCAGTTGCAAAGTAGGCTCGTCCTTTAGGTAGTTCTTGCTCCGACACTACAGCCTCAGCCACGATTCTCGAGCATTACAACAGAATTTTGCGGGTTCCCTCAGCCCTAGAACCACACCTCGCAGTGCCGAGCAACCTAAAAACCCCGTAACGATAGTTACTACCCTCGCCCAGCCCGTATAAAACTATACCAGAGCTCTCACAAACCCGTAAACCCTAAACCCCCAAACCCCTAAACCCCTAAACCCCTAAACCCTAAACCCCTACTGAATAGAATCGACAGGCCCTTTGCGCTCGCCAGCGCTGATCCAGCAGAGAGGGCTGCGTCAGAGCTGGGAATCCCGCGTCTTGGCTCAATGTTGTGTGGTTCAAGGGTTTAGGGGCTTAGGGTTTAGGGTTTAGGGTTTAGGGGTTCAGAGTTTAGGGTTCCGCGTTTGGGCTGATACAAAAATTCAGTTCCGACTCTGAGGAAATACAAAGCATCAAAGAAACGAGCCGGGGTGATTGAGACCGGCAAAAGACGGAGCTAAAACCTAAAACATATTGCAAACCTGCTGCGCAAATTAGATTGCTGCCTGCTGCAACCAAGGGGCACCTCGATTTTCACCAGCCATTGAAGCAATAAACACAATAGCGGGGAGACTCAGTGATGCAAAAATGCCTAAGAACATCCATACCCCTATGACTTACTTCTCGCTCATGCAAGCGCAGAAAGTCCTGGTCCAGCTTCTGGTGCATGGGATCTTTGGGCCAAAACCATTAGAGTTAGCATGCTTTTACAGTTCCTTTATAGTAGTTTTGGAATCATACACCCCAAAACTCGATCATAGTTGTCAATCCCGCTATGGCAATGATGGCAATAAGAGCAGTCACCACACAATCTAGTGACAACTGCAGAGCCGCAACAGCAGAATGTAGCAACGCATATCACTCTGGCCCAGCTCCTGTGTGGTAGGCACCTGGGGAGTAGACGAGGGCAGTTGGAGCTCTCAGTGAACCCCCAACCCCTAAACCCTAAACCCAAGACCAAGCCCAGAACCCTTATCCCAACCTTCAGCCCTCTACAATGCCCGTGGCTGCTTACTACAGAGTGAGCCCTTTGCCTTCAACACTACCCGGGGAGCCCAATACCCCTACCTTCAATCATAGAGGGCTGAAGTTGATGATTTAGGGTTTAGGGTTTAGGGTGTGTTGGTATGTTTCTTCATCCAGGGGTATTGGGCTCTATAGTCGACGAGGAGCCTCTAGCTTTCAACCCTTAGCCTCAAGCCCGAAGCTCTAAGCAGTATAAGCCTCAAGCCCCAAGCCCTGAACCTTAAGACCGAAGTCCTAAACCCTATTGTAAACTGGTTTAGGGTTTAGGGTTTAGGGGCGATGTAAACCTTGAAGCCTCATCAGCCAAGCCTTAAGCGATGAGGCTCTGGGTGGTCGAGCCCGGAATGGTCCCGACGCTGGAGGAGCGAGCGCGCTTCTACGAGCTGCTGCCCAGAATGAGCTGACGTGGCAGGCAAGGGCTTGAAAACCCTAAACCTTAAACCCTAAAGCCCTAAACTGGATTTGGGGCCAGCCAATTCAGGTCTTTAAGGGCTTGGGGCTTTAGGGATTTAGGGTTCAGGTGTTAGGGCTTCACGGCTTTAGGGTTGTAGGATGTGTTTTTTTTGGGGGGGAATTTGGAGGGTCCAGGATTAGAAAGTTCAGGGTATACTGCAAGGGCCTTAATACTTAGAATAGGGTTTGGGGGTATAGTATACTGTAATCATAATCAGGAATCCCCAACACCCTATTCGACTTATTAAAATTTAGGCCCCTCATTACGGCCCCCTGGGATTGATGGCTTTGCTTATTTCATGCGCGTAGTACCGAGTTTTTGTTGAGGGATCTTTTGGGGTTTTAGTGCTAGCATTATAAGGCTTCAGGGTATATCGGCGGTGTTTAGGGTTTGGAGTTTCGGGCCTTCAGTGAGTTCTGATGCTCTTGTTGCATAGCCCAGATATCGCAATTCTGAACCGTAGGGCCCGCAGAGCATAGCACCGCACGGTGGCAACGACAGTAAGATGCCCACGAACCGTCACTGTGTCAAGATCGAGGCTTTCATGCCCCTAAACCCTAAATCCTAAGCCCTACACCCTAGACCCCAAAGCTTAAACCCTAACCCCAAACCCTAGACCCTATAAACCCTAAACCCTAAATCGATCTGAGACTGTGACAACTGGGTTCTTTCTAAGGAGTTTAGGGTTTAGAGTTTAGGGTTAAGGGTTCAGGGCATCTGGGGTCTTGTGAAGGGATTTAACCTAAGTTAACATAATGAGGAAAGCTTTTTGTTTTTGCTACGGATCCCCATTATGGTAGCTAAAATTAAATTCCTTGACAACCCTAAACCCTAAAACCTAAGCCCTAAGCCGCGACAAGAACCCCGGATAACATCCCTGATAGCAAGGGAGGTGAGGATTTCTCCAGGCTTCGCAGTGTCCGTGAGATCTTGCTGATAGGTAATATAGGGGTCGAAGGAATTACCAATACTACTTTGGGGTTCCTTATTATAATTATTGCGTAATATATACCCCCAAACCCTATTCCAACTATAGGTTATCTTGAGTGGAAGATGAAGTCCTCAGTTTCTAAGGTTTGTCGGTTGGAACAGGAACAAAGTGCGGGCCAACCATCGATGGGCACTGCTGGCCGTTTGGCTCAGATGTAGCAGCCACTGCAGAGCTGTGGCCGACACCCAGCCATGTCGCAGCGGGAGACCCGCCCGACCGGAGCAGTCTCCCCTTTCAAGAGGCATCGCAAGACGGTTGTGAGCTATGACAAGTGTGCCATGGAAGCTTTGGTGGCAAACGAAGAAGCCGCAGAGCATGAGGAAGCCGTGTGCTGGCCTGCTGCACAGTGTTACCGAGAGCTCGTGCACATGGTCAGCACCTGGATGCCGGAGATTCGTGTGAACTCAGAAGGGGACTATGCATTCTCATTACGCTTTGTAGTTGCAGCGATTCTACTCACCTTGTTTCTGACTTTATTGGGGCCGTTCGTGGCTCCAATTGCGATCGCTTTAGTTGCTCTTCGGAGTACTGAATGGAACTGCTTGCATGGCTTGTCACAGATCTTCATGGTTGGGCTTACCGCCTTTCCCCTGTACCTTCTGTGGACTATGACCGCAGTGGCCTTTCGAATGGACACCCTGCAAGAGTTCAGAAAGGCCGAGAATTCCGTCCTGGAGCTTTGTGGCCCCTTCCTATGCCTTCTTATCTTGTCTCTGGTATTTCTGGCAGAGGTCTGCCACTACTGCACCGAGGTTCCTGAGTAGTACCCTTTTGCATTTTTTCTTTTTGGACTCCCTTATTAAACCCAAATAGTAGGCAAAGGGAACCCTTTTATTGACGGGCTACTGTGGAACCTAAACCCTAAAGCCCTAAACCCTAAACCCCAGGCATCGAAGAAAGCACTGGCCGGATGCTCTTGGACGAACTCTCGGAGATCCAGGAGCAGGATTCTTTCAGCGGTCGGATGTTGGAGCCTTGGTCATGGCTCTCAGAAGGTTTTAAACTTTGCATTAAACCCCAAAAAGTTGGAAACCGGATTAAGGACAAGTAGTGCTGGGATTCCTGTACATTACTCTTAAGGATTGAGGCTATTGGGTTTCCAACTTTTGGGCTTTTACTGTAGGGATTTGGTGAGGGCTGTTTGACTGCTGGATGCTGGGGACCCTAAACCCTGAAGCCATCTCGGCCATACAGCCATCGACACATCATCAACGGCAAGATGCCTCTATAATACAGTAGAATATACTGTAGTATAACATTATATAGTATCATGTATTATAATGTAATATAGCATCATATATGACATAACTCAATCCACTGCGTTCTGTTTCTAAACACGCCAAAACTCGCTGAATGCCTGCATCCATTTTTCAGTTATACCTCGACCCACAGCGCTGCTATGCAATTGCGAAGCCCTTCTGCGGACTCCCGCATCGCAGGATACGCAGGACTTGCACGACTTCGGCAGTAAGATACAGGAGGCCTGTGCAAGGAAAGCTGTCCTCTTGAAGGGCTGTGCACACCGTTACACCGCGTTCACATACGATTCTGTACTGTACAGGTTGGGCAAGGTTTCTGTAGGGTCTGTAGAAACAAAGTCTGTCTCTCTCTCTCTCTCTCTCTCTCTCTGCCTCTCTCACCCTTCTACGGTTCAAGCCCTAAAATCTAGGCACTGAATGCGTAAGCCTAATGCCCCAAGCCCTCAAACAAGACACCCTAGTACTACAGTTGTTGGAACATAATACTATACCCTCCTATACTATACCCTAACGGTCAGTTTGGCGCTAAGGAATTCGTCATGCCAGCTGCCATCGTAATCATCATACTCGTTTGCATTGCTCCGCTGTTTGTTCACAAGCATACGTACCGTTGGCCAGAGATGGGTTTATGATACGGTGCAAGACGGCTTACATCAGTTTCCAATGATCAATGTAGGAACCGCTTGGTATGCTCTCAGGTCCTGAACTACCTGCATCGGTACATCCGGAAGAAGCCAGTTAGCATCTTCGGAGCTGAGTCTCCTGGGGTCCTAACGAGCAGGTTCATGAAGGTGATGCTGCGGATGATCATCATAAACTCGCCAGAAGACAACCCTCAGGAGTCTTCTTCTGTAGATGGGGTTGCAGGATAGGGTTTAGGGTTTAGGGCCTAGGGTTTAGGGCTTGTAACATTTAAGAGGAGATTCTAAGTTACTGCTTTTTGTGTCCTTCATGAACCTCCACACCCTGGCAGACGCCGCAGGCAGAGTCGCAGGAGCTTCGTGGAATGCTTCAGGATGCCTCCGTGATTACCAAGCAATTCTCGCCTCTTCGGCTATTGGTTCTCGTGACGGTCAGCCTGATTCCCGCGCTGTTTCCGGCCATCTGCCGCTTTATCAGCGGGCACGACGACTTTATGCTCACAGACCACATCAACGTGTGGCGTTGCCGGCAGGCATACTTGTTCATGGCCTTTCTTACAACTATGATGCTGATCAGCACCTGTCATGATCTCATCCAAAGCCTTGACAAAATCCAGCTCTCCACTCTCGCAACCATGTACCTCGCTGCCCCCAGAAAGCGCCGGGCGGTATTGGTGGCAATATACAAGGCCCGCTTTGACAAGCTCATCCTGCATGCGGAAGGCGCACAGGAATCCGTTCCCCTCGTGGAAGCAGAAGCTGCGTTGCTGCAACGTGAGGCTGGGGTAAAACCTTGAGGACGACATGACCCTTAAAGTAGGGGCCCTATGTCCTTATACTATGAATCCCTATATGGTATATGAACCCTAAACCCTTTTAGGGTTCATTTCGTCCTTAAGGAACTGGGCTGCAGACCTTCACCTAAACCCCAAACTTAGGGGAAATTCACCCTGGAGGATGCCCCAAATCCGGATGACGTCACTGCGCCGGCACTGCTTTCGCGGGGCTTCGGCCATCTCAGATGCTCAGAGTGCGCTGGAAACTGTTTTAGTCTTCCTGCAGTGACTCCTAAGACGGGTTTCGGGCCTTAAGCCCTATAGACCATAAACCCTAAACACCCTGGATGTCATCACCTCTCGGCCAGGGATCCCGCCTGCCGACCCCTTTTCCATGGACACCTGCGAAGCTAGAGTAGGATGCCTCGTGATGCACAGAACGATACCTAACCTAACGTGCACGGCAGGCCACGGGTTCCGGTGCACAATCTTATTGCTAGAAGTTGCTGCTGCATCTTGACATGGCGGTTATATCTGCTGCTGCTGCTGCTGCTGCTGCTGCCACAACGATGACAAGGATGACTATCTGTCATAAGATAAGGCTGGGAATATCTTGATGGTCGCTACATAGATAAGCCCTTAATATGATCATGATACACCCTAAACCCGGTTTAGGGTGTATCATGATTATCATATTAACTAAACCCTAAACCCTTTTGGGACTCTCGAGGCTCTGGCTTGTGAAACTCACTCCCCCTTAAACCAGAAACCCTAAACCCTAAACCCTCAACCCCAAACCCTAAACCCTAAACCCTGCTCTAAAGAAGCCAAGGATTCGTCTTGTCCAGGCCAAGCTGGTTAACTTCGGGAAGCCCTCGTGCGTCGGAGGACGCGGCGAGTCCTGATCCCAGGACCGGATCTAGTATTCTGATCGTACATGATAGTGTTATGATAGTAGACTAGACCCCCAAACCTTAAACCCTAAACCCTAAAATATACTACTAGGTATAAAACCCTGCAATCCCAATCCCAAAACACCACAACGATGCGCCCCAAAACATCCCAAAACCCCTGAAAAGCCCAAGGGCCTGGTTGCCTCGGATCGTTTCGTGCGCTGGGATGAGTTGAATGATGATGGGCCGGGAAGTTTGGGCTTAGGGCTTCTGGTATTTACATAGGGGTTTAGAGGTTGATTTAGGTTTTTGTTGGGGGGGTTTTAGGGGTACTTATATACGCCGAACCTGGGGCCAGCAGCAGGTAGGGGTTTAGAATGCACGGTTCTTGTGGGTGCTGTAGGCTTGACGATGTAATCACCAACACCCTGCATGAAATCTCTCGTGCGCAAAACTTACACCCCACATTCAAGAGCCTAAACCATCAGGGACAAGAATCCCCAAAAACACCCCCTTAAAGCCTCACCAACTTCCAGACCCTGTAGCGCAAAGTCCTAAAAACCCCTCACCCCTCATCCCTAAACCCCACAGTCCCCAACCCTAAACCCTAAACCCTAAACCCCTAAACCCCAACCCGGAACCCGTGAGCTTTCCTGGGAGGAGCTCAGCTTCCTTAGGATCCCTTGGAATGCGTGGGAATCGACCGGTGCCGATCCTCCAGAGGACCCCTTTCAGGGTTTCGGGGTTTAGGCTTTAGTGTAGGGGTTTAGGGTGTAGGGTTTAGGGTTTAGGGTTTTGGGTTTACTATATGAAAGAGGGGTTTGGGGCTTAGGGTTTAGGGTTCAGGGGTTGGGGTTTAGGGTTTGGGGCTTCGAGCTTGGAGTTTAGAGGTTTCAGGGTGTGAGGTTTAGGGTTTAGGGTTAGCTAGAGATGTTTAGGGAGATTTTGCCAGGCATTTCCCTAAAAATCTTTTTCGTAGAGAAAGCCCCACAGACCTAGCCCAATAGTTCAGGCTCCTGGATGAGCCAGGATTTGGTATTTGGGTTTGCGATGTTTGGGTTTCAGGGCTTTAGGATTTTAGGGTGCAAGGGCGTAAGGCAGCTTAGGGTCTCAACCCTAAACGTCCTAGTCCCAATCCCTGAAGTACCGCGACCCCTGAAGGAGCCCTCAGCCCTAGTACCCATGAGGAAACGCTTTAAGAGACCTTTTGACCCAGGAACCTGAACGACAATGTCAATGACCGGGTCTCCTACTTAGCCACGAGGAGGTTTGCAGCCCTGCAGCTTCTCGCACGGGCAGACTGCCTGGTGTTGGAGTCAAAGTCCCAAGTAGTTCTCCTGGTCCTAGCATTCATTATGATCATGTGCGCCGTGATTCTCGCTTGCTCGGTTGGCCTGCTGCATGGCCAGCATGCCATCACACCTTTGTTCTGCATGGTGTTCCTGCCCATTGTTCTGATCGTGATGCTGGACATCATGAACAAGTTAGTCGACCTCGAGAATTACTTCTATGAGGACACCTTGAAGATTCTCCAGAGCTGGCGAGAGCGAATGGAGCGTCTTCGATATGCCGTCACGATTGACGAAGTCATATCCGAAGAACGCACACATGTGGACAGCTTCTTCACGAGTCACTGGCTTGCAGCTGCAACAACTAACAACTACTACTATCACCTGTACTACTACTACTACTACTACTATTATTACTACTACTACTACTACTACCTAGTACTACTACTACTACTACTACTACTACTACTGCTACTACTACTACTGCTCCTCCTACTGCTACGGCTACTGCTACTGCTACTGCTACTGCTACTGCTACTGCTACTGCTACTGCTGCTACTACTACTACTACTACTACTACTACGACGACGACGACGACGACGACGACCACAACTAGGACTGTTCCTATTACTAGCAACGACACTGTCTCTGCCAGTGTCATGGATAGTATGCGCTACCACTATCTCTAAGACAATTGATCATCAACTGGTAGACTTATGTGAGGTGTTGGCGAGGCTCCTCAGTCTTTGTTCTTCAATGCAGACAGTCTAAGCAGTCATTTCTTGACTTGAAGCCGAACCTGTACCGGGAAGCTTCCTTCACGCTTGAAAGAACTTGCGCAAAAATGGTTCAAAGTGCCTGCGCAAGTTGGAAACAACATTGGAAACCCTACAGGACAGGCAAAACTCCCAAAATCTCAAACCTGCAGCAACTATAGACCTCCCAAACTAACCCCGCAGTCTGGTGCCTGCGTCGGCGGCGGTGCTTCCAGGGCTTTCGGCGGTTGCTTGGCCGGTGCCTCTGCAGTGTGTGGTGTCGCCGCTCTGACAAACACGTGCGAGTCATGCAACAACGATGACGGCAGCAGAACCACGAAGACGACGTTTGCTGTTGAAGCTCCTTCTTCCGCTCCTTCGCGTCCTCTCGTATTCTGAGTCCTGCATGGACACCCGATTATGCCTCATCCTCTTCGTCCTGCGCGACAGCTGCTGTTGCTGCTACCGCCGCTTCGTTACATTGTAGCACAGCCAAAAATGGGATAGGTCGAGTCGCGCTACTAAATCCTAGCAACAACTAGGACGGAAAAGCTGGTAAGACATGTCTTGAGGAAGGAGAAGCAGTTGGACAAACAAACAAACAGTAAGACGTGCTGGAATATGCGGCCGTGCCTGCGATCAGCTCAAATTTAATAGAACGAGTGCAAGCGTCTATAGATATGTGTATATCTAGATGTGAAAGCACACATACATACATATCTATCCATTTTTGTTTTTTTGCATGCCTACTAGTACACGCAACTATCTGCCTGTCTATCTGGCTTTCTGATTATCTGTCTATGAGTCTACCTGCCTTCCTGTCTATCTATCCATCTATCGATCTGTCTGTCAGTCTATCTCTCTCTCTCCCTCTCCCGGGCATCGGGGGTCAAATCCCCAGGGCTTCAAGCCCACCTAAACTTGTTGTTCGGGTTTACTTGGCGAGTAAGATCGATCTCTCTAACTGTCTGTCTATCCAGTGTCTATCTATCTACCTAGCCACCTATCTATCTAGCTGCCTAGCTACATATCTACATACATAGCTACCCATGTAGCCACCCACCCGCCCGCCCGCGCACCCACCCACTCACCGACCGACCGACCGACCTACCTACCTACCTACCTACCTACCTACCTACCTAACTACTATCTGCTGCCTGTCTGCCTGCCTAAGTACCTATCTACACCAATCTATTTATCTACCTACCCACCTACCTACCTACCTATCTATCTATCTATCCATCGAATCGATCTGTCTATCCATACCACACATGCATACAGAAATTGATGCATGCACATAACCTTGGTTCTTGCAGTTCTTGCATGTTCTTAGGACTTGAAGGAGGTGCTGCGATTCAGATTTACCTTGTGTCTTGCACGGAGCTCCGGTGGGAGCGCTCATTGCGCTTCCCCTGTAGCTTTCCGTCCAACTCGGAACTCGAGGCACCGAACCACAGCAGGATCCATGCGCCGGCAACATCGCCAGCAACCAAGCCCCTTCAAGCCGAAGGTTCCAATCATGGTCTGTTTCGAGCAGAAAGACTGAACACCTAAACTGCCTCGCGAAAATCAAACCCCAAAGCTTTGCTCCGAAAGCCCTGAAGTCTGAAGACATTCGTAGCCCTGCAACCGCAAAGCTCCAAAACTGCAACACCCAAATTTACAGATGCTAGTCTTCCTGTCTGGAGTCTCGCACAAACCTAACAAAACTTGAACTCCCATGCATGCCAAGACCGAACACTAATGGTGCCGCTAGTGCTATTTGATATAATTAGAATGACTGGGCGCCTGCCACGGTGGCGGGGCTGACTCGTTTGCGGGTACCTGCCAATGAGGTTCGTGGTAGGGTTTATATGGTTGATCGAGGTTGAGGCCAGGGTCTGGAGTTTAGCATTTCCAGACTCAACAAAAGCCACACCAGGTCCTGCCCCCTCTGAAAGCCGCTCCTGAAAAGCTTTTCGATCAACGCTGCCACCCCGCTGTCATGATTGCTGAAGATTGCGCACGTCCCATGGTGGCGGCGAAGATGCCGAAAGTGGCGGAGATGATGCCTTGGCGGCCTTAGCCGTTACCTGTCCAGGAGGCTGAGTTTATGCGCAGGCGAAGACATACAATCGGACCGAGACCGACATTCGTACGTCTGCATGAGGATGACGGCGAAGAGCGCGTGAACGATGGCGAGAGCAGCATAGAGCAGCACAGTAGAAGTAGGTTAGTAGCGACAGCATGAGGTCGTCTGGTTGTTGCCACTGCTGTTGTTCTTTGCCCGTGTGATGACTGGCTCCTTTTCCTTTTGTGTGACAATGAAGTATTGTTACAACTGTTGTACTGGCAGAATCATTTCTGTTGCTCACCGCTTTGAAATTGGGGAGCTGTCTTGTCGCTGCCCGTCGCACCTGCCAGGGGGCCGGAGTCGGAGGAGCCGGCGCCTTTGCAACTGCCTGTGTAAAGATTCAGGATTCGATGTCCAAGCCCAGGGTGCCGCACTCTAACTCCCAACGTTATCTCTGGGTGGGAGGGCTCGGGTTGAAGAAACTTTGAATGCCAAAGCCTGCCGGGTCTGTGACTCCAGCAGGCTATCCCCCCTTCAAGCAACTGCGGCTCAGTCCCTCGCAGGCTCTCCACGCTGCCCAATCACTGAGACAGAGCTGACCATCCTTTCCTAAGAAGCTCCTACTTTAGGCACCTGGATTTGGAACTGAAAGACATTGCAGAAAATCACAAGGCCGCGCAGCGGAGGGGCCTTGGGGGCCGCTGTCGATCTGGTGGGGCCTTCGCTGGGAGACTAGTGCTCGGGGTGGCGATCAAGGGCAGTATTGATGTCGCAGCACCAGACTCCTCTCTAAACCTGCGGGCTCGAATTTTGAGGTCGCAACGGCGCTGAAGCCTAGAATCATGATCTATCGATGCACTGTACCTTTTCTACTACAGCTGTCGTTGTGGTTGTTGCCGTTGCTCTTCCTGTTGTCCTGATGTTGAATCATCCTGACTGCCACTCCTGCTGTTAAACTGACTGTATGCTGTGACTGCCCTCATTCACTGATCAGAAAACGATATTCCTCAAACCTTCGCGGAATCCACTGCCTGTAACAAATCGCACCCCCTGTCGCGTCTGTGGTATCAAAAGATGCAGAACCCAATGCCCGTGACATATCCTGCCCCCTGTCTCGTGTGTGATATCACAATATGACCAAGTCGAAAAACCCAATTATCAAACACGAAAAAAGTTACGATGCGTTACGGGCCTTGGTTTGTGCGCGTTCTAAAACCGCATACACAAATAAAAAACGATTTTGGTTTCTGCGTTTTTGTGTGTGGTACGTACGACCTGTGTCTGGTGATGTCCTGTAAGAAACACGAAGTAATTTTTGTTTTGGGCATTGTGTTCTGCGTCTGGTGATATCTTGGACAAGACGCTGGAAACGATTTTTTACGGGCCATGCGCGAGAAGGCAAAGCAACAGGCCTGACGGATGATACTTCTGGCGCAGCTCGAGGACGTTCTTGCGGTGCCACCTTGGTGTGCCAGGCTGTTTCGTGCATCAGCGGCGTGATCTCTGCAGAAACAGTGCTTAAATCTGTACTCAAGAGACAAGGATCCGAAGGGTCTAGAGAAACTACAATCCTTTCTGGTTCCTACTCTACGGCAGCAAGAGTACATATTCGTAAGACTTCAACCCAGCAGCAACTCATGCGTGTGCAAGACCCGACACGGAATTATGAACCTGTGATTTTTTCATATCCGACTTCAGGATTTGGGTCTAAACGGTCTAAACTGCTAGTCGGCAGCCCTGGGGAGAGAACTTGCTGGATGATTTGGGGGAGCGGGTTACTCATTTAGTTATGTACCTCTCTATATACATATATATATATGTGTATAGATATATATATATATATAAATATATATATATATGTATGTATGTATGTCAAATATGCAGATAAAGATAACTGTAACTTTGCAGGGCTATAAGGGTTTTACAGGTGTTTCTCAGACGGGTAAGTGTGTTGTGTTGAGGTAGACGACTCTATTGGCATCCAGGAGCCTAAAGGAGGACTCGAATGGGAGAAACCTTAGAGCACCAGCCAAACCAGCTTCCCCATCGTAGACTCGAAACTCCGAACTGCCGCATCGCATGAAAAGCTGAGCTGCTCGTAATTACGGAGGTTTTTCTGGTGCTCCTGCAAGAGAGAGCCGGATCACAAAGCAAACCGCTAAACCTCAGATCCTCAACGGATCATCCCCAAAACTCGCATTAATAAAACCCTGAAGCCACGTGTGCGCAAACACCCCAGGGATGGAAAATGCTTTGGGTCAAAGATTGGGGGTTGTCCAGGTGTCCAACCTCCTCAAGAACCAACCACATTGACCATGCGGTGTGTTGGGTGTTGAAGGGCCCTTTGAGGGTGGAATCTTCTGCAGGCTCGTACTGCCTCTTCTTGGGGTTAGGGGACACAGGAGAAAACATGCAAGAGAATTTTCTCGCCTGGGTTCAAAGCCTACCTGGGGCTTGAATGTGTTCAGAGGTCCTGGACTTGGGTGAGTAGGGCAAGCTTCTTACCTCACACTTCGAGAGAGGAGGCTGCTTGGGTGGACGGTCTGAGATGCTTGGGTGTTTCGGGGTGCCTGCTGTACGGCTTCAGGTAGGGGTCAAGGCTTTGTGTTTGGAGGTCGATACCTCCAAGCCGGAAGCAGTTGAGAGTGGCCTAGGGTCTCGAATTTGGGACGACAAGGGCTATGCCACATGTGCAACAGACGCTGTTTGTGCTGCTGGTGCAGCCGCTGCTGCTGCTGCTGCTGCTGCTGCTGCTGCTCTGCAACAGCTGCTTGGCTTGTCGGCATCGTCGTCGTCATCATCATCAGCAGCATGACTATTAGCCTCCGTCTCCTCCTCATCATCACCATCATCGTTAAAATCCTCATCATCACCATCATCACCATCACCATCATCGTCATCGTTACCATCCTCATCATCATCACCATCATCTCTCTCGCTCTCTGCACGCCACGGCCTCTTGG